AAAGGGGGTGCCGAAAACCCTTCTGCGGAGGCAGCCACAGTATAAACTTTTTTGCTGGTGTGGAAGAGAAAGGGCTGTGTTTTACGATGGGACCCCAAAGGGACTTGGTGTTGTCTGTCAGCCTGCTCACGCTACACGTCAAGTCCATGGCACAGAAACTGGACAGGAGATCATTTAAGATTCCAGGCGACAGCCAAGGCCTGAGAGGATAACAAATTGCTGGTGAAATCCAGGCCTCTCGTGTACCTAACAAGTAATACTAAAAGCAAACCATCACCCCCTCATGTCTCTTCAAGAAAAATCCTAGTTTTAGGATGAAGGACAGAAACAACGTGGTGTAGGAACAGGAGCACCCTGGAAAAAAAAAAGAATAAGCAAGAACATTCTTTCTGGGCTCAGGCAGTGACAGAGTTTGAATTGATGATAATGCCGATAGGCACCTTGGGAAGAAAATTCAAAAACGTTGACAGCCTTTTAAATCAATATCAACAAACCTGCTCTGGTGGTTTTTCAAAAACGCCAAACAGGTCTCTTTTTTAAAAGCTAATGGGCATTAATGGTTCCCTCAAGACCAAGCAGCCACAAAACACATCAGAACACAACTGGGAGGGTGCACGGCAATCTGTAGTTGGAAAAATGCATTCGACACCTCCGCATAATGGATGGATTTCAGGGAAGATTGAGAGAGGGGGTGGGCAGATGAGGGAGCTGTCTCGGGAATCAAAATGTTGGAGTGCTTCCACCCTACAAGTGAGGGTAGAATAACAACATTGGTCTTAGGTAGTTTCAGTCTGTTGCATGCCCTCTCCCAGAGAGTGGGCGATATTTGCAGAATGAATTTCTACCTTAGGACTCTCTGTGTCTGTGTGTGTGTGTGTGTGAGGAGAGAGAGAGAGAACATACCAACAATGCATTTATTTACAAATTTTAATTAGGTAAACAAATTTAGTAAGCTGACTGGAAAACTCACTGGGTTGGAGTGCCTGGTTGCAAAGCCACAGGCTTGCTTCCCCACTGTGGCTACTGGGATTTAAGCCAGCCTGGGTAGCCTTGGGCAAAGGTCATGGCCTCAGAATAAAAGAAATATAAATTGCTTCTGAGTCTTCTGTAGGCAGAAAATCTCAGAAAGGGTCACCCTATGTGAAAATAGAGTTAACAGCACAGAGCTATGATTTGTAAATCAATTGGTTATCTTAATGTTCCCAGATGAAGACTTGCAAGCTTAATAAATCCACTTGAGGGGCAGATTAATTTCAGGGGCACCATATCCTGAAATGAGTGGGGCTGCCAAGTATGCGCATGCATGCACGCACATGCACGCACACACGCACACTGATCATAGCCATTTGTGTTTCCTTTCATTCATGATATTATTGCTATTATTTATATCAGCGATCCAGAAATGTACAGATTGTGTCACAGAGCCAGAAACAGGGTGAGGTTTGGGGTACAGTGAGGGTCAGCCCTGATAGTTGTGGCCTTCATTTATACAGAGAGCAGGATAGGGGCAGAGCTTTCCACACAGGCCCAGAAAGAACCCACGGGGAAAACTTGATGCTGTGCTTACTGGTGTTTTGCACCAAAGGGCACTGAAAAATAAAGCCCTCTGAACCACGATGTTTATTCTCCCGGAAGCAGCCATCAAATGCAATTCAACCTCAAGGCAGAAGACTTAGCAAAGAGAGAGAACCACCTCGTTCCATCTCAAATGTAACATGCCAGGGAGGGGTTCTGCTGCAAAATTAGCTGCTCTAGGGAAGAGGAGAGCAGAATCTGTCCATCTCAGTGCTTTAAATACATTCTGTTGAATATTTGTGGCATGCACGCTTATTCCCAAAGGAAGGAAGCTACCCATTTAAGAAGGATTTAAGAGTGTGTGATTTATCTACAAACCCAACCTGAATTTCATGGAGTTCAGGGGGGAAAACACACATACACATGCAGTATATTTTTTAAAAACCCCAAACCTATATATAACATAGCTTCAGGAAAGCCTCCCTTTTTCAACTCCCTTTGGTGAACCATAAATGGATAAAAGGCTCTCCATTTGATGGCTTTCAGCTAATAGTACTTGACTGTAGGAAGTTCAAGTCATATTTTTAAAGAGAAAGGGGGGGGAATCTCTCACTGTGGTCTCCCTCGGTTCTTGTGAAGGCATGGTGTGAAAGCACTGATGTCACACTCCTTGCTGTAGCCACTCTACCACTCTGCCTCCCACTGGTTCTTGGATGAGATTGCAAGCAGGCACAGGAAGAGGCTGTGGACTTTTTGCCCACCCCTACCCCCCATACAGGCCTTTCAGCCTGCAAGACCATGCATGCAAGACCACTCCTCTGTGGACAAATATACCAACCTTCGACACACAAAATACAATAGGCTTCCAACATGTCCCATAAAACAATTGAACATTTCAGTAGCTAGGACAAGTTTAGGCCTTCAGGGTTAATACCACACTTCCCTCTCATTCACCCTCCAGACAGTGGCTTGCAAGGATGTTTATAGTTAATTAAAAAGAAAAGAAGGGATGAGGTGGACAATTCAAGAAGGGAAGCAGTTCTAGATACAAAAGCAATTGTGTTACAGGATTTCAGCATTCAAAAGCACAGACACATCAGAAAACAATGAACTCTAATTTATCCTATCTATCTCATAACAAAGTAGAAATATGGAATATTCTCAATATCCTCAACATAGCTTCATGCACAGCAAATAGAGGTCTCCTTGCGAATCATGCTGTGGCTGGGCTCCATAGAGGTATGCCAAGCTCAAAGACTCAAATGCTCAATTCCTATTTTATACAAATGAACAGTCCATTAGCACCTGTGGCTACAATCACATAATTACTATTAATCTGCTTTGATCATTAGCACCTGTGGGGAACAATCACATAATTGCTCTTAATCTGCTTTGATCATACAAAGAGTATGGTTTTATTTATTCCCTTGTTTTATTTAATGTTCATTCTGCATTTCTCCCAGAAATGGTACTCAAGAGGTGAACCATGAAATTCAAGTTGGTGCTCAGTCACACAACATTCAAACAGTAGAAATTTTTCTGACAGATGTATTATCAGAACTTGATGGATATTAGGATAGAAATCAATTTGAGCTTAACTGTACCAAAACTGTGCATTTCATCTGAGAAACAAGCAAGTATATTGGAAATTTCAGGTTACTTGGGAGGGTGCTCACCTAAATCATTATTTTTCCTCCAGGTGTTACTTTGGATCATATCCTTACCTATAAGAAACCCTGCCAGCCTAAAACTAAAAGGTGACTGCAAGGAACAATAATCTCCAAAATTTATCAGGAACCAATTGGTGCACACAGCCACAAACATTAAGAACTACAGCCTTGGCCTACACTGCTCTGTGGACAAATATACCAGCCCAATATGAAGTAGTTCAGCCCATGAAAAACAGGTAGACATAGCATTCAAAGAAAGAGGTACAATTATTACTTTATTCCTTAAGCAAACCCCTATTGATAAAATTAATTGCCGAGGTGTTGCACTGAATGACACAGGGAGAGAAGTAGCAGTAAAAGTGAAAGATTTAAATCATTGACATGAAATGTGATGTAATTTTTTGGCCATCATCCCACCCTCCCCAAATCAAAATCAAGGAAAAGTTTTTTCAGAACATCAGTGTCTCTTGAAGGAAAAGCAGAGAACGTGGAATGTAGAAAGACAATAATGTGTAAAGAAAGAACTACTTATGTCTTTAAATGGATGGAACCCCAGGAAAATCAAGCCTCCAGTCACATGGAAACCTGAGTTACTTGGAAGTTATTTAACAGGCTATGGAATGAAGTTGGAACCGACGTAAATCTAAGGAAATAGGATGTTCACATCCAGACGGTACTTTGTGAGTGCAGAGAAGAACAGGCAATCCACATCTATAGCAACATACTCTGTACTTCTCGATATGTACCATCGAAGACTTGATGTTAGCTGCCCGAAACACTCTTGACGTTGCCAGTTATTGAGTGAAAATTATCTGATACATTTATTTAATGGCACCGTGGAGCTTCTGACATGAACAAAGAAAGAAAGTTTTCAAAAGGAAACACAATTGAGACCTGATTAAAAACACAATTAAAGGCCTAAGAATAAAAAGACAGAATAAAAGCCAGCCAATTAAACCCCAGTGAGCAGTGACTCAACATGAATGCAGATCTGTATGAATAAAAGGGGTCTTTGCTTGATGGCAGAATCACAATGAAGAAGCAGGCAGCCAAGTTCCCCTTGTGGGGAAAGCTAGCAGGAAAAGCTCACAGCTTTGGTGTTGGTGAGACATTGAATTCACTCTACATTGATCAGCTGGCTGGATGAATTAGTGGTTTATGTTTCTGGTCGCAGAGCCAGAGTTTGGGAGTTTGATTCCCCACTTGTGCCTCCTGGGAGAAGAGCCACCCTAGGTAGCCTTGGGCAAGCTGCACATTCCCAGGGATGTTCCCAGAAGAAGGGAAGGGGAAACCCCTTCTGAGTCCTCTCTACTTAGAAAACCCTGAAACGGGTTACCATAAGTCAGAATTAACTGGACCGCATGCAGTTATTTATTTTAGTCACAATGTTACATGAAGCATTAAAAAAAATAACTTCAGCACCTTGGATAGCTCTTGCCAGAGCTAAATCCTGGAGATTTCTTCAAAATATTTTTTTATTAAAAAAATGGATGCTAATTATGTACAGAGGTCATATGAGAGATGCTCTTTAAAACTGAAACAGTACCATACATCTTGTGGGAAGCCCCCAAACAAATGATCCGTGTGCCTATCAAGTCTACTGGCCAGGATGGGCAACTGTAAGGTTCCTGAGCTTAATTTCCTTCTTTATGGTTTTTTATCTGTAAATCAGACATATATCAGGGTGGCATAACAGAGGATATCTTCAAAAATCAGAAAAAGAGGGCTGTCCTCTGTTTAAATAAAACCAGACCCAACCATAGCGCTACAAGCATTCATACAGGGACAGCTTCGTAGAACCCCACCATCTCTTACCTCGCAACTCTCCCAAGTCCAGCGTCTTCCCTAGCTGCTCTAGTAAATCAGCCCGGGCTGCGTTCTTTTTGTGCTTTTTCCCATCGTAGTGCTGTTGCGCCATCATCGGGTTGTTAAACCAAGCCGCGCAGAGCTGGCAGTACCTGTCCGAGTCTCTTCTCTGATGGGGCGGAGAGACCACAGGGGAGCTGTCCATGTGTGGCTGTTTTAGGGAACTCAGGTTGGTCTCTGCAAACACAAGCAAGCAGGAAGGAAGGCAGTTGATGGAGGCAGGAATCCACCATGGTGCACCGTGTCTCAGCATAGGACGTATAAACATTTAACTTACTTTGATACAGCAAATGTTTGTACATTTATCCACTCTATATAAGGAGAAAGACAGGATATAAAGAAGAGAAAATAGGCATTGGGACTAGTGTATAGTCATTGGGTCAACTGCTAGATAGCTCAGTGACTTAGGCATCTGGGTTGGGTGTTTGATTCCCCCATGGTGCCCCCTCTAGAGTGGCTGGACCCAATGATCCACGGGGTCCCTTATAGCTGTGTAGTTCTTATATGATGATGTGGATGATGCACGAATCTTTTGAACTCTCTCTTAAAATCACTCCAAGCTGGGGATCACCGGTAGATCTTGTGACATAAATTCTATACATTCATGACATCCTGGGTGAAGAAATTGTCTTCAAATCCTTGTTGTCAAAGAGGGTAGTGTAGCAGAGTCTAGCAGAGCTAAGGCCATGCCACACAATTCTTGGTTCATTAGATATGAACTGAGCTTCTGTTTCTTTGAATACCTTTTTCTGACAAATGTCTTATTTTCCTCTTCTTACTCTGATCCTCCCTGAAAAAAGAGAAAGCTAATTCCAGAGCATTGTGCAAAATGCAGAAACGTAGGCCAAGATCTCAACCCTGTCGTTGCTCTTGTTCCTTGCAAGTAGCACCACCATCTTGGGGTTGGGGGGGAGAGGAGAGAGAGAAGTTATGCTACAGTCAATACTAACGGGGACATGAGGAAGTGTTGAGGAAGGAATCCAGAAATAGAATGCAAAAATGCAAATGGCCATTTATGTATACCTCTAGTTCAAACCCATGGAAGTCCACCTAGAATTCGAAACATACAAATTGAGGTAAAATCTCTACCACCATCAACCAGCTACCATTTAGCTTGAGTCCCATCACCTTAAAGACAACCCTCTGTCTGAACTTTAATGAGACCTCATCTCAGAAGGAAAGCCAAAGTGGTGGCACCTCAATTAGTTCAAACCCATGGAAGTCCACCTAGAATCTGAAACAGACTACAAATTGAGGTAAAATCTCTACCATCATCTATGCTATTGTGTCTCATCTCGTGTTCCCAGCAAATGCATCTCTTGTGAGAAGATTCAACCAGCTACCATTTAGTTTGAGTCCCATCACCTTAAAGACAACCCTCTGTCTGAACTTCAATGAGACCTCATCTCTGAAGGAAAGCCAAGGTGGTGGCACCTCAATTAATTGACTCCACAGAATCGTCCAATAAATAAATAAATAAATAAATAAATTAACTGACTCCACAGAATATTAGAATGAAAGAGAAAAACTCACAACCTATTCAATATGAATAGTTATGCGCTCAAAGGATTCTACGAGAAAATGGAATCCTTTCTCTCTGGAGCTTTGAATAGTGATATGCATTTTTATCTTCCTATGGGGAAAAAAATAATCTTTGAAGGCATCTAGATCGTAGGCTCTCCTCACCCCCACTCACTGATTATTGCTTCAAAAAGTCCAATATATGAATCAACGAGGAAGAAGCTCTTTCCTGCTAGAGGAGAACACATTAGGAAAATGAGGTCCTTGGAGTATTCAGAGTTAAAATGATGGAAGATTTCCTCTCAGGCCGCCTTTACTCTTCTCTTCCACTGAATCCCCTAGTACTCAGCTTCCATAAGCAAAGACCTTGTGCACTCATCACATAACTGCTGTTGCTATGGCAAATTTATGACCAAAAAAAAAAAGGAAGAAAGAAGAGTAGGAAAAGAAGAAATCAAGTAAATAATGCTATCCAACCGTGCGTTTTGGATTTCTGATAATGAGCCGTCTGTACAGCCGGGAGCCGGGCTGAAATAGCATGGGGGAAGAATAGTGTGTCACACAGAGGGTCTTCAGAAAAGGACGTCTACTCTTATAGACTGCCAGAAAGAAAGAAAAATGTACCACCAGAAAAAGGACGCTGATGTGCACGAAATGTTCATAGGCTTAATCTGAGATGCAGATCTAGGCATTATGGCTGAAAAGGAACTGCCAGTCATCCTGGTCCTCTTCTCTTAATGAGAGGGCTTCAAAATACCCTGCCTACTCATGAGGTGAGGAGAGTCATTTTGCAGCTCCCCTCCTGGCATTTGGGGATAAGACAAGCAAAGATCTACACAGACTATGAAACAAACAAACAAAAAAACCCCTTTGCCAGAGGGTGGATGGCTGCAGGTTGGAAGAGGGAGTTAGAACAGCTATTTGGAGGGTTTTCATGCCTTGTTGACTCACCCTTCACTCCCTTCTTTACTACCATTGGCATTTAGCCTTTTTTTTTTTTTTTTTTGACAGGGTGCAGAGTAAAAGCAACCATTTTGAGAGGAACGAAAGGACTCCGGGCTAAGCCATAAACATTCTACAACTTGGGGAGGGGGGCAGGAAATGGCCTCATTCTCCTCCGCCCTTCCAATTTCTCTCAGATTATTTGTCAAAACGGTGGCAGGAGCCTCTGGGTGTCTAGTGCTTCATAAAGAAAAAGTTATTGTTACACATTGGTAGAAATGGCGGGGGTTTATTGTGAGGCAACGTATTGGGTATGCTGTTTCAGAAGGCCTGGGGCTATAAAGATTTTGTTCTTTGGACCAGACTCCTCTTGGTTTATCCTTTTCCTGGTGCCCTCAAAGGGAAGGAAGGCAGCCTCACATTTTTCATCATGTTGCTGCAGGCATTCAGGTGGCAGGGTTTTGCTCCTGGGTACCTCCTTACTCATGAGGAGGCCACCTACACACAAGGAGGCCTCTCCTGCACCTTGGGGTGTCAAGCCAGGCTCATGCTTTCAGTCTTCTTTGTTCCTGAGGGGTGGGAGGTGGCTCGACCACCTCCCCTCGGGTTCAACTCCTGAGCCCCCATCACCCAATGGGGTTTGGCTCTTGGGTCTCTGAGGGGCTGGGAACTGGAGGGTCAACCAGGTCCCCCACCCCAACAAGCCTTGTAGTGTTCAGTTCCTCAGGCATCTCTTCACTGGAGGACTTATGGACTGAGATCATGATGGATCCTCATTATCTGCTCTTGGAAACAAAGCCTATTGACTCCTGCCTGGTGGCCAACTGGAAGAGAAAACTAAGTGACTTTGCAACTCTAAGAGCTGCAGAAATCTTGGCAGTAGGATAAACAAATATCTTTTCCTGTTTAAGGAAGCTCTGCCTCTAATTACAAAGCTAGCATTCCATGCCATTTGGCCTGCTCTGTAAGCAGACTGCTCAAACAGGACTCTGCCCTTTATTATTCCATGTGGACTCTTGTCTTTAGAACTGTTTTAAAATGAGGTTTTAAAACTGTTTCTAATTGAATTTATAAATTGTTTTAAAAAATATTTTCTTGTACAACATTTCGGGAACCTTGGTGGGCTGAAAAACAATAAAACACATATCATTACAATGTATTGATTTAAAGCATTCCTGATATTCAGGATATATGACAGCTATTTGGGAGATAATCATTATCACATCCTAATATGTGTGAATATGTAAAACTTCCTTATTTGGCATGATAACATTTTTCTACTAAGCCTGGTACTTGGAGCATAGCCTGTGCTAATCTTTTCAGCCTTTAAAAAAAGGCCACTTTTAGTGCACTTTCATTTTAAATCAAGCCACATGCATTATAAAAAGTGTGTTGACATGTGTCTTATTTAACTAGATCTCCATTTTCTGATTCAGATTTAGATGCAATGCTGAAAAATTCAACTTTATTTGAGGGTTTGCAGGGATTTTTTTTATAGTTAGGAGAACCAGCAGATGATTGAATCATCTACCGCTGACATTTGACTTTTCAAATGCGAAAGTTAATGGGGTGCACATTATGGAAGCCGTGCCAGAGTGTGGCCAGGACAAGGTCAAGCAAAATTGGAGAGGCCAAGCAACCTCAAATCACTTTTGGAAAGATTAGATTTTCTCCCCTCCCTCCGTCATTGCCAAATTAAGAGCAAAATGATATTCTACCCTCAGCAAATGCCAGGAGAAGAAATAAGCGCATCCGCTGAGTTATCAATGAAAGGAAGTTCCTGAATCAGTTATACACGGCCAGAGAGTTGAGCAGCAGCTATCAAACTTACAAGCACATGTTCTGAAAACATTAAAAACATTAAAGAGAAAGGTTCCCCTTGACATTTAGTCCAGTCATGCCCGACTCTAGGGCGTGGTGCTCATCCCTGTTTCCAAGCCATAGAGCCAGTGTTTGTCCGAAAACTGTTTCCATGGTCACGTGGCCAGCGCGACTAGACACAGAACACTGTTACCTTCCCATCGAGGTGGTACCTATTTATCAGCTCACATTTTTACATGCTTTTGAATGGCTAGGTTGGCAGGAGCTGGGGCAAGCAATGGGAGCTCACTCCGTTCCCTGGATTCCATCTTACGACGGCTGGTTTTCTGACCTTGCTTTCAGATATTTGGGACCTAAGGATGTGGAAAATTCTCAATTCCAACCATGAAATCTTACTCCACCTTCTTCCCCTCTGTATCAATTTACAAAACCTTGTTTTAACTTCCCACACTGAAATTCCCATCTTTTTCAGAAGGTGCAGATTTAATTACATTGTTGTTGCTGCTGCTATGTGCCCCCAAGTCACCTCCGACTTAGAGCCACCCTATGACCTCCAAAACATCCTGTCCTCATCAGCCCTGCTCAGCTCTTGCAAACTCAAGCCTGTGACTTCCTTTAGGGAGTGAATCCATCTTGTATTCAGTCTTCCTCTTTTCCTTCTGCCTTCTACCTTTGCCAGGATTACTATCTTTTCCAGAGAATCCTGCCTTCTCAGGACGTACCCAAAGTAGGGCAGCCTCAGTTTCAACATTTTTGCCTGTAGAGATCATTCAGGCATGATTTGATCTAGGACCCACTCGCTCGTCTTTCTGGCAGTCCAGGGTATCTGCAAAGCTCACTTCTAGAACCACGCTTCCAATGAATCATTTTTCTCTCCCCATCATCTTTCTTAGCTGGCCACTTTTCCATTCATGGTGATTGGAAATACAAGAGTGGCGATGATCTTCACCTTGGTTTCCAGCGACACATCCTTACACTTAATGATATCTTCTAACTCCTTTGTTGCTGCCTTTCTGGATCTCAGATTCCTAATTTTCATACTCTCTCTGCTCACTTGGCCACCAGCTTCACTTTCTACCCGCTATGCCCATTTACGTTTCTTGCATTTTAATATATGTGGGTGGTTTCAGGCCCCCTTTTCCATCCCAATGTGGCCTATACATTTTTCAAATTCTCAGCCTGAGGATGTGTAAAACATTTTTCATTGAGATGCTCAACTTATTATTAATTTTTTAAGGAAAATCTTTTCCATCCCTACCTGGACTACAATTGGATGAGACATGTAATCCAACTCATGGGAGCGCTTCTGGGCTAGAGAAGGCTGATTTTTGGGAAGAAACGAACTCTTCAGAAGACACATAGGCTTTTTTAAAAAGAGGTTAGCATGGCAGAGAGAGACATGAATGCTGCATTCATTCAACATGCATCTCCTGTGGCTTATTTGCTTTTCCAAATCAGCAGTGACTTAAGCTGTACCAATGGCCATTCCTTTTTCTGCTCAGCACTGCAAAATGGAATGTTCCTTTAAGAGTAAAATTTACAGTACAAAAATCCCTCTCTTTTTTCCCCCCCTTCCATATCATGGGAACTTACCTGTGGCCTTTATAGCTGGCTGCTCCCCGAGCAACAGCTTTAATCTTTTGGCATGGATTTTCCCTTGATAATGTGACTCAGCCACGACCGCCGAAGTAAAGGACATATTACAGAGGGTACAGCATTTATTCTTATCCACTGAGTCGTCATCACTGCCCTGCAGGGTGAAAAGCAAGAACCAGATATGTTAGCTGCTAGCCATGGCAGAGAGGCAGTGGGCATAGCCAGGAAGAAAAGCCAAATCCAGTCCAGCGAGATTAATTTGACAGATAGAGGCTTAGAGGGCTAAAGGAATGTATTTCCAGAGGTGAGTTGAAATTACCAGCAAGGTGAATGGATCTTTATTTTTTTTATTTATTTTTTTTAACAGTGGCTGGAAATCAAAGGGAGGTGGCTTTTTCGGTACGCTTGTTTGTCAGCTAAATTCTTTGCTCTTCTGCATTGGCACAGTCTCAAATACGGAAAAGCAGGGGAAAAAACAAAACAAAAATTTAAAAAAACACAAAACACAAGAATGTGGTAGCCCTTAAAGACTGGTTTTTATATTCCAGTGTAAACTTTTGAGGAAGAATCCACTTTGTCAGACATATTAGAGGGGAGGGAAATGAAGTGAAATGGAAATTTTAATATGACCAAAGAGAACTTTTGAGAAGTCGTTTTAAAGGCCCCTTGAGATTGTTCACCTCCAGCCAGGAGTGAGACGTCAACTTCTCTGTCCCCTTTCTACCTCTCTATGGGGGGGAAATGATTCTTGGAACCCTCTGAAATCACCCACCCAGACTTTTGTGCATGAACATGGGGACGAAAAGAAGACGTTCACCCCCCCATCCGAGATAGCTCCCAGTCCAGAGACCTAAATGCACACAGAGATACCTAAAACATTCCATCGTGGACATGCACCGATACCAAGAACATCCTCAACGAATAGGTTCCGGATGGTGGTTCGTTACTGGGGCAAAACGTACAGGCAGCCAGAACCAGTAACGGAGCATGGAGGTCTCCTTGTTTTTGATTCTTACATATATATATCTGAATACTTTACTGTTTTTAGCTTTCAATGTTGTGTTTCTAATGACATAAGCTGCTGTGGGTCCTTTTTAGGAGAAAGGTGGAGTAAAAGATATTTTAAATACATAAATGTTTAGAAACCACAACACAGCCAGAAGAAAAGTCCAAGGATATCCTGTTTTTATTATCATCATCATCATCATCATCATCAGAACTGCAGAGCTGGAAGGGACTCCGTGGATCATGGAATCCAGCCCCTGTGGGGATTCGAACTCCAAACTCCAGCCCCTGTGGGGGATTCAAACTCCCAAGTCTCTGGCTCTACAGGCAGAGACCTAAGCCACAGAGCTATCCAGTAGTTCTTATAACAGGACTCATTCTGGCAAGATGTGAACATCCCATCATCTAGGGAAATGTTTTATTCAACAGCTAACTCTGAATGCCTCTTATTTATTCACCTGCTATGTTTGTACAGTATCTTCCATTTCCTGCAATAGGCTCAAAGCATGAGCCCAAGGCTGTCCAGATGACTCTCCTTGACCACCGCCACCACCCTTATCATCACAAAAACCCTGGATGGTAGCTCAAGCTGAAAGAATGTGGCTAATGCCAGGACACTTAGTCAGCTTCAGGGACAGGTGAGGATTTGAATCCAGGTCTCCTAAGTCTTAGCCCCCACATTGTAACCACTACACCGCACTACACCTTTGCTATCTTTGTGACATGCAATTTGCTCTATCAGGTAAACTTGACACCAGAGGGGAAGAGTCCATTCTGATTCCACCTCCCACCCCCAACTTCAGTACCTGGGCATTGTGGACTCTTGTGGACAGCTGGAACTTGTGACTGAAGGCCAGGGCTTACCTATTGCTTGAGCCAGATTTGGGGTGTTGTGCAAAGAGCAGCAAATGTTAAGTGACTGCAAGGAGAACAAACCTATCCATTCTGAAGGAAATCAGCCCTGAGTGCTCACTGGAAGGACAGATCCTGAAGCTGAGGCTCCAATACTTTGAGAAGAGAAGACTCCCTGGAAAAGACCCTGATGTTGGGAAAGTGTGAAGGCAAGAGGAGAAGGGGACGACAGAGGACGAGATGGCTGGACGGCGTCACCGAAGTGACCAACATGAATTTGACCCAACTCCGGGAGGCAGTGGAAGACAGGAGGGCCTGGCGTGCTCTGGTCCATGGGGTCACAAAGAGTCGGACATGACTTAACGACTAAATAACAACAACAACCATATTTTTATGGCCAGCTGTAGTAAGAAGGGCTGGTTGGGATTCTGGCTTGCTTTGACAGCTGTGCCCCTTGATCTAAGTGGCCCCATGTTTTCAGGAGGAGGGGCAAAGCTCTGGTCCAGACCAGGGAACACAAAAGACTTGTCCCGGAGCTTCTGCCACACAAAATAATTATCACAAAGGATGAGGCAAGGGGAACACTTCCAGTCCAAACCTGCCATCGCTGAGACAGAAGAGCGGGAAAAAAAATATGATAAGAGTGACAGAAGTTTCCGTAAATCTATTCAGCTCCATATGGAAACTCCGTGATTGCTTTTTATGACTGCTTGAGGAAACCTCAAAGCCATTCCCCCCTCCCACTAATTTCCAAGCCAAATTAATTAATGTTCCATTTATAATCATTAGCTCACATACACTCAAGCTTCTTTAACCTAAATGACACCCCTACTGCGTTCCTTCCTCTGAAATTCCTGTGAAATAAATCATATCCGTCTCTTCTCCTCCTCACGCCCCCCCCCACCAGAGTTAAGTAGGCCAACGTCTTTTAATCTTGGGTGCTCATCAGATGGCGTCTCTGTTCTTCCGCTTTTTTAGAAGCGTTCCCGCCATCAGCTGTGGAATTCCAGCCTTTTAAGCTGCCTATTTCTTATTCAGGCCTTGAGTACCTGAACTCGACGACGCGGCTATGGCATCGTTGAAAGAAGACTGTGAATTTCAAGCCCACATCTGCTCCGTCTGTCTTTATCGGCCTCCCAACTATGTTCTTGCAGTACCTTTACGAGGAGATAATAGGGTTGACAGCAGATTGCAAAAAGCAATAGCTACAGGCCACCGGGATCAATCGCACGTCATGGCTGATGAACAGCCAACGCCAAGAGTTTCAAAGGAAACTGTTACCTGCTGATTCTCTTTAATGGCGAACTCAGATGACAAGCGCCAACTGGATGAGTGCCAGCCCAGAGACTCCCCAGCTGTCCTGATCCAGCACATTGAAGCCCAAGGCTCCATGCCTACAATAAGTCTGGCAAACCCAAGGTCCACGGATATCGCCAAGACATGCCACCCAAGTTTCAGGAGCTCCGTGATCCCAGGAGCCAGGATGACAATGCCAGCCAAGTAGGAGCTCCTTCAGAATCCAGGTCAGGGAACTGCCACTTTAAGGCAGGTGAGTCCCCAGGTGTTTTCGGACTACAACTCCCAGAAACCTTTGCCAGCGCAGCTAGTGCTGAAGGCTTCTGGGAGTTTTAGTTCAAGAACATCTGTGTGCCCAAGATCGGGAACCACTGTTTTAAGGCTTCCCACTTGGAGGTACAGAGGTGCCTCGCTAGACAGTTACCCCGCATGACAGTTTTTTCGCTAGACATTGACTTTTTGCGATCGCTGTAGCGATTCGCAAAACAGTGATTCCTATGGGGGAATTTCGCTGGACAATGTTTGGTCCCTGCTTCGCAAACCAATTTTCGCTAGATGACGATTTTGACAGCTCCCTCTGCGCTCGCAAAACGGGTGTTTTCGGGACCTAAGCCTTGCAAGACAGCTATTTAAACAGCTGGTCGGTGGTTCGCAAAGCAGTTTTCCTGTGGCCTATCTTCGCTAGGCAACGACGATTCTTCCCCATTGGAGTGCATTAAACAGGTTTCAATGCATTCCAGTAGGGAAATGCTTTTCGCTAGACAATGATTTCGCTAAACAGCAATTTCAGTGGAATGGATTATCATCATCTAGCGAGGCACCACTGTAAAGGAATCAGAGCCCGGAGGTAGTCCCTCTGAGCCAGTACTGTAATATAAAAGTTTTAATTAACCCTGATATTACTACCAGAGCCTGGCACATGGTTTTTGGTCCATTAAGATGGAATCTCTTTGAACCAGGAAATTGCTCATAAGCATTATGGCTAATTTAAGAAACACTGGCCTTTTTATTATTATTATTATTTTGCATCTTTCAACAATGCCATTTAAATGTGTAAATGATTGTTGCAAGCCACCCAGAGACCTTTGGGTAGAGTAGGTGGCATATAAATTAAATAAAATCAATCAATCAATCAATCAATCAATCAATCAATCAATCAATCAATCAATCAATCAATCAATCAATAAATAAATGTGCTGCTAATACCTCAAATTGAATTCCGTGGGGGAAAAAAAGAACATATTTGGGTGTTAAAAAAAATGGGAACTGTTACTGTGAAATTTTGAGGAAAGTGTCCCCGCGGAAGGAATGGCAAGTGCAAGGGAGCAAATGTGATGAAATAGTGGTTGGTTTTAAATGCTTGAATCGTAATGTGGTAATATTATTTTTATAGGAAGAAATCCTGGAAGATTAGCTGTTTGGAGCTGAGGTTTATGGCAGCCAACAGCCATTTCAGACGGCCCATTTTTCCAGGCCACTAGAACATAGATTAAAGACATTGTGGCATAGTAGACACAGTGTCCGATTTGTACTCAGGAAACCCGGGTTCAAATCCCTGCTCAGCTATGGAAACTTGCAGGGGGCAAGGGGAAGATGGCCATCGTAAGCCACTCCTTGAGCATCTTATGGACTTTGAACATCTATTAAGATGGCCGTACGTGCTGGCTGGAAATCTCAGTGGTGTAGGCATCTGCCTGAGGGGCTAGAGGCTGGGAGTTCAATTTCCTCCTTGTGCCTCCTGGGAGAAGAGCCAGCCTGGGTGGCCTTGGGCAAGCTGCACCGTCCCACAGCGCCCCCAGTGGAAGGGAAGGGTCAACCACTTATGTATATTTGCTACCTTCAAAAATGCTGGAAAAGGTACAAGTTGGACTCAACTTGACGGCACATGATACATATGTATGTCAGAAGCAACTTGAGGGTGCATAAAGAAAAGGAAACAGTCAGGGAGTAAGCAAAAGACAGCCTTACAGATGTTCACCCATCATTCCTCACAGATAGCCA